CGCTCTATAAATACTGTATAATAATAATATCACAGACAAAGCGCATATACAAAAAAAGTGGTTTTATCTACACATACATTTATTAAAGGGAAAGAGTCCTGATTTCACAGTGATATTATTACATTTTTATTACAATTTTGTCAAAATTTGCTTCAAATTTTGTCACGGGAAAGACTAGAATTGCTTAGGAAAAAAAATACAAATGGCGGTATAGATACTGCAATTTTTATTTATTTATTTATTTATACTAGTAAATTTAGGCCAAAATGTATTTCTGCTCCATGTCTTTGCTAGAAAAAAATCCCAATAGGTGTAAATTAATTGGTTTATGTGAAAGTTATAGTCTACAAGTGGCGGTATATATACTGGAAATTTTTATTTTTTTTCACTAGTAATGGTGGCGATCAGCGACTTATAGCGGGACTGCGTCAAGCATTCTGACACTGAGGGGGAACTGACTAACTGACAATGACATCCCCAGTGACACTAATACAGTGATCAGTGCTAATAAAAAGCATTGACAGTGTACTAATAGCACTAGGCAGGAAGGGGTTAACATATGGGGTGATCAAAGGGTTAACTGTGTGCTGCATGTGTTCTTTACCTGTGTGCTGTGCTTTACTGTGTAAACACGCTGCTTTGTATGGCTCTGCTATGATCGAAGGGAAATATCAAAGGGTTAACTGTGTGCTGTTTTACTATGTGGGCTGTGTGTGTGTGTTTCACTGTGCGCACACTGCTTTGTATGGCTATGCAGAGCCATACAAGCAGCATGCTGGAGCTGACGGGAGAGATCTGTATTGTTTACATTCAGGCCTCTCCCCCGTCAGTGATACTCGGTGATCGTCGGGTGCCAGTGGGGAATCATGGGGCCTCTGTGTCCTTGGCCACACTCAAAGCACACCCAAAAAAAGCCTTTAAAAGGTACCAGGGGCATTTCATGGGGCCCCCTACTGACCCTGGGCCCTCGGGCAGTGCCCAAGTGCTCGAATGGTCAGTCCGCCCCTGTGCGCGCCCCCTACCCAGAAATACAAAATCATATATTGTATATATGTGTGTGTGATTTTGCGCAGCCCTGCCACCCTGTAGCAGTAGTTCTGCTATAAGGCAGTCGGAAGCGGTTAATAAGCTGCTGAAGAAGCCATTTTATGCTGAAATGTGTTGAGTAGAAGTTGCTGCAAAAGTACTCAGAATGGTCTTGACCTCAATTGTAATTGAGTGATGCTTTTACTATCCACACCATATTTTCTGGTGTTTGCTTTTATGTGTTGCCATTCAATAAAAATGTTTTTACAACATTGTGGTATTGGACTATATGGTGGCACCGCTCAAAAATCCCCCCCTTTTTTTCAACATTTTATTTGGGATTAGGTGCTTTTGGTTTCTGGACACTTAAAACATCTTGTTGTTGGCTTGTGATTGGATTATGCTTCTGCCAGCTCCTTACCTGCCTGAATTCCAACTACGCTCCTGCTCAGGGGTGGACTGACCATTCGAGAACTCGGGCACTGCCCGAGGGCTGGGGGGTCAGTAGTTGGCCCCATGAGATGCCCCTGGTAACTTTTTATAGGCTTTTTTGAGTGTGGGCAAGGACACAGGGGCCCCATGATCCCCTATTGCCCGGGGGCCCCATGAGTTGTCAGTCCGCCCCTGCTCCTGCCTACAGCACATGTGTCAAACTCAAGGCCCATGGGCCGATTCTGGCCCACCAGACCATTTCATGTGGCCCTTGCACCTCTCCTGCAGCTGTGGCACCCCCTCATGTCTCAGAAATCAACCTCAGAGTGGAGGACAGAGCTCCTCTGCCAGATCCTGCGCTTCTCCATGCAGCCACAGAGAGGCTTCTCTCTGTTCCCCCCCATCTCAGCTGTCGGCAGCAGATAGGATGACAGAGCTTCTCCTACAGATCCTGTGCTTCTCTGTGAAGCCGCAGAACCCCTCATCTCCACCTCCCTCTGGTCCAGACTCTGCACTTTCTGCTTCCCAGCAGTAGCACAAGGAAAGGGTTGGTGCATTGTGATGTAAGGGAGGGTGGGGGACTCATAATTTCTGATGGTGGGGGGGCTCATGACATCTGATGTAAAGGGGGGTGGGGTGCACTGGACATCTAATCTCACAGATAGTGGCCCTTTGAGGGCAACGATAATGCAGCCCACGATGAAATTGAGTTGGACACCCCTGGCCTAGATGGTCAAATTCAATCTGACTGTTAGGGACCCAGCTTCCCTGACTTTGTTGATCACCTTTCTGCTGCCCTGCCAGCCTCTGCTGATCATCTAAGTACACTCACTATCCACTCTATTAGGCCCACCTTGCTAGTACCGGGTTGGACCCCCTTTTGCCTTCAGAACTGACTTCATTTTTTGTAGGATAGATGTAGCATGAGGAAATATTCCTCAGGGATTTTGGTCCATACTGACATGAGTTACTGTTACCTTTCTATCATCTGGAACCAGTCTGCCCATTCTCCTCCGACCTCTGACCTCAACAAGGCATTTTTCTCCACACAACTGCCGCTCACTGGATATTTTCTCTTTTTCGGACCATTCTCTGTAAACCCTAGAGATGGTTGTGTGCAAAAATCCCAGTAGATCAGCAGTTTTTGAAATACTCAGACCAGCCCAGTTTGGCACCAATAACCATGTCACGTTCAAAGTCACTTACATACCCTTTCTTCCCCATTCTGATGCTCAATTTGAACTTCAGCAAGTCGTCTTCAACACGTCTAGATGCCTAAATACAGTTGCTGCCATGTGATTGGCTGATTAGCAATTTGTGTAACCAAGCAATTGAACAGGTGGACCTAATAAAGTGGCCGGTGAGTGTACATTAATAAACCAGCGCTAATATCAACCCAGTAAGTGCTCTACCGCAGTGAAAAAAGGTATATTTATAGACATCTTCTCTTTTAGAGGGAAGATAGAATATTCTTAGAATGGGGGTGGGAGTAAATGTAGCCTTAGTTAGAATTTGACTAGAATTCCGCTTTAAATAAAGTAATATACTCACTTCAAGATAAAAAAAAAGCATCAGCCCCTTTCCTTCCAGCATTAATACAGTTACTTCTGGCTGTCTCCTGCATATGACATCACTTCTGGTCGATGCATTTCATCATCTAGACTTTCTCAGGATGTCCGCTGATCACCTGTCAGCTGCCCAGCCTCAGCTGGTCATCTGCCTACTGTCCAGCCTGATTCTGCTGATTATCCATCTGCTGCCCAGCCTGGCCTGCTAATTGTCTACCTGCTACCTGGCCAGTCTCTGCTGATCACACACCAGCTGCCCAGGCAGTCTTTGCTGATCACTCACCTGCTGCCCAGCCAGTTTCTGCTGATCATCCACCTGCTGCCCAGCCAGTCTCTGCTGATTACCCGCCTGCTGCCCAGCCAGTCTCTGCTGATCATCTGCTTGTTGCCCAGCGTAACTCTGCTAAATGTCTACCTGCTGCCTGGACAGTCTCTGCTGATCCACTCTACTGAGTGGAGAAAATACCCATAGATCTGAGGTGGAAAATAGAGGAGTCCTCAAAGGGGGTCCAGGAGCCCTAAATAATCCTGAAAGGTGTTTTACTCACCATTATCTGGTGAGTGCGGTTTATGTTGGTTTCGGCACTGGTGGATGGTGGAAGAATTATTTGAAGCACTGAAGTTTATATTTTTTAGAAAGATTTTTTTAGGGATCACTGGACTTTTGATTTATGAAATAACTTTTTTAGTTTTTATATGTCACAGGTTTGTGGTCACTTACCTTTATCACTGGACTTTAAAGATTATTTATAAAAATAATAATTTTATATTCACTTATTATTTTAACATTTGTGTTTTGCGCTGGTTTATGTTGGAAAATCTGCTGATCATATGCCTGCTGCCCAGCCTGACCTGCTGATTGTTTATCTGCTGCCTGGCCAGTCTCTGCTGATGTTCTGCCTGCTGTCCAGCTTGCCTCTACTGATTATCTGTCTGCTGTCCAGCCAGTCTCTGCTGATGTTCTGCCTGCTGCCCAGCCAGTCTATGCTGATCACCCGCCTGCTGCCCAGCCAGTCTATGCTGATCACCTGTCTGCTGCCCAGCCAGTCTCTGCTGATCATCCGCCTGCTGCCCAGCCAGTCTATGCTGATCACCTGCCTGCTGCCCAGCCAGTCTCTGCTGATCACCTGCCTGCTGCCCAGCCAGTCTATGCTGATCACCTGCCTGCTGCCCCGGCCGGTTTCTGCTGATCATCTGCCTGCTGCCCAGCCAGTCTATGCTGATCATCTGCCTGCTGCCCAGCCGGTCTCTGCTGATCATCTGCTGCTGCCTGCCAGTCTCATCTGATCATCTGCCTGTTGCCCAGCCAGTCTCTGCTGATCACCTGCCTGCTGCCCAGCCAGTCTCTGATGCATGTGGTTGGGGTTTGGAGTAAATCAATAACTTTTTATGTTGAAGAATTACAATATTTCCATATTAATTTCTTTTTCTATTCCTGTATTTTTGCATATCTCATTCCGCTCCCAAATACATCATGTCTAATTTAAATAGCCAAAAAGCAACCTCTAACTCAGAGTCCCAGGACTCCAAATTCTCTTCTTCACAAACTTTATTTTGGCGGGAAGAAAAAAACAATTCATTCCGTTATCTAGTTACTTTTATAAGAAAGAATAAACAGAGCCGTGTAATTGCCACCCGTAATTGTCTTTACTTCCAGCTGCAAATTAGATTGGAGGATTTACAGTCTCTGTCTTCTCTTTATTGCAGCGAGCGTTACAATGAAGGATGTGCGTTGTTTTTCAGCAAAGCAAATTGGGGCATCAGGAATATAAATAGGTTCATACGTTTGTGTATTTATATTGTACCGCATGCAGAAGATGACATATTTAGGAAACACGTATGCATATTCATGATGTGAACTCTCTGAAGGGATTTCACTTTATTTTCTTAAAGCTGAACTCCAGCCTTCCCTTCAGTCTTGCACAGGTGTACTGGCTCCTCCCCTTCAGTCTTGCACAGGTGTACTGGCTCCTCCCCTTCAGTCTTGCACAGGTGTACTGGCTCCTCCCCTTCAGTCTTTCACAGGTGTACCGACTCCTGCCCTTCAGTCTTGCACAGTTGTACCGGCTCCTCCCCTTCAATCTTGCACAGGTGTACCGGCTCCTCCCCCCTCCAGTCTTGCACAGGTGTACCGACTCCTCCCCTTCAGTTTTGCACAGTTGTACCGGCTCCTCCCCTTCAGTCTTGCATAGGTGTACCGGCTCCTCCCCTTCAGTCTTGCACAGGTGTACTGGCTCCTCCCCTTCAGTCTTGCACAGGTGTACTGGCTCCTCCCCTTCAGTCTTGCACAGGTGTACTGGCTCCTCCCCTTCAGTCTTTCACAGGTGTACCGACTCCTGCCCTTCAGTCTTGCACAGTTGTACCGGCTCCTCCCCTTCAATCTTGCACAGGTGTACCGGCTCCTCCCCTTCAGTCTTGCACAGGTGTACCTGCTCCTCCCCTTCAGTCTTGCACAGGTGTACCGGCTCCTCCCCTCCAGTCTTGCCCAGTTGTACCGGCTCCTCTCCTGGACTGAAACGGCTTCCTCTGATTTCACTGCACACTGTGAGCTTCTCACCATGTGCATTAGAAGCTGCAGCCAGACAGATAGAGCTCCGCCTCCTTTCCTGGCTGGAGAACTTCCTAGGATCACTCACTCCTCCATATTGATATCCCGCCCATCAAGGCATTTTGAAATTTGCATAACTCCTGTCAATAGCCGGCCTATTGCATCAAGGCTCTTGAGAGAAGTACTGAGGCAGGGTGCTGTGATGTTTTCAGAAAGCTCACTACAGTACCCTGCCAGCCCTCCATCCAGCCACGATCTGTCTGCATTGCAAAGAAAAGCACAGAGATCCAGTTAAGCACAGCTAAGCACACCCTATGACTGCACTAGACATGTGCAGAACAAAAAAATTTTTTCGTTTCGGATCGATTCATTAAGTTACTAATTTTGTTCGTAATTAAATTTGTTATCTTTAGGTTTGTTTTGTTTATTTTTGACCAGATTACATATTTTTCCTATGGATTTACATAGTTACATAGTTAGTCTGGCTGAGTAAAAGACAAAAGTCCATCCAGTTCAGCCAAAAAAAGTTATAATCCTACACCCACAGTTGATCCAGATGAAGACAAAAAAAATCCCAGCAAAGCACGATCCAATTTACTCCTGCAAATTGAAGTATTCTAATAGAATTTAAATAAAATTGTAATAAAAAATATCAAATCGATCCGAATTCATTGTGAAGAATTGTTCTTTCCTGTTTGAAATTTTAATTTCGGAAGATGGTTTTATTCTTTCTATTTTGTTCAATTATTTTATATTCTATTCCTTTATTCTCTATTCTGCCTTATTCTATTCTTTCATTTTCTGTTCTACTCTATTGTTTTCTAATATATTCTGTTCTACTATATTCTATTCTATTCTACTCTATTCTTTTATATTCTATTCTGTTTTATTCTATTCTTTTTGAAATTTGATTTTTTAAAAAGGTGGCTACTGTATACTGATTCTATTCTGTTGTATTTTTTCTGATCTATTCTTTTCTTTTCTATTCTATTCTCTTAGACTCCATGTCCTGGGGGATTCTGCGTCGCTTCCTCTCATGTGGGAACATCTTCCAACTTCATTGAGTCCTGTTCCAACTCTCAGGTCTTATCCATTCCAAAGTGATCCTGATTCCAGGACTTCTGTTTCAGTGTGGTTCCTACTCCACAGATCCAGCTCCCAGTTCCAACCTGTCCCATGGTGTCCTGCTCTATCTTCAACTGGGTTTTGGTCTGAACTTCTCAGGTATTTATAGGTAAAGTTGATCCAGGGAATATCCGATTGCCTCTCGGGGGATCAGGAAGGAATTTTTTCCCCTGCAGGAGCAAACTGGATCATGCTTTGCTGGGTTTATTTGCCTTCCTCTGGATCAACTGTGGGTGTAGGATTATAACTTTTTTTTTTTTTTTCTATGGTTGAACTGGATGGACTTTTGTCTTTTTTCAGCCAGACTAACTGTGTAACTATTCTTTTCTATTCTATTCCTTTATTTTCTATTTTATTCTATTCTTTTATTTTCTGTTTTGTTCTGTTTTATCCTATTCTATTCTTTTCGCAATTTGAATTTCAGAAGTCGGCTATATTCTAACACTAATACACACAGTCTTTGAAGGAAATCAGCAATAGCCAGCAATAGGTTTACATTTCTAATCTTTTATTTCGGACAAAATTTAGTTTTGTTATTTCGGATTGGTTTAAATTTGTTACTATCGTAATTATTGGTTGAACTGGATGGACTTTTGTCTTTTTTCAGCCAGAAAAACTATGTAACTATGCAAGCCTACCATCTCTCATTGGGTATCCTTACAGAGGGACCATGTTGGCGTATTTGCCATCCTGACATGTCCCCAATCAGGCATAGGCAGCAATACATAGGCTGACTGGGGATTTACCTTCCCTATCCAAAGCTAGTAGGAAATGTTTGGCTTTATATTTACACTTAAAGGTGCCACTCTGTACACATTTACATTTAAAAGGATGGACAAAGGACCTGATGCTCCCACTGGACCTCCATCACTTGACATGCCCAGGGGCGGACTGACAACTCGTGGGGCGGACTGACAACTCATGGGGCCCCCGGGCATTAAGGGATCATGGGGCCCCTGTATCCTTGTCCAAACTCAAAAAGCCTATGAAAAAGGTACCAGGGGCATCTCATGGGGCCCCCTACTGGCCCCGGGCCCTCGGGCAGTGCCCTAGTTTCCAAATGGTCAGTCCGCCCCTGGACATGCCTACCTGTTACCTACCTAAGTGAGTGCAATTTTACCATTAAATCTGCCTGATTTTAACTACTTGCCGACCGCAGATAGCTGAATGATGGCTGCATTGCGGCCGGCCTGTTCTGGGTGGACGTCATATGATGTCCTCCCAGAACGCGCTCTCCGCGCGCCCCCGGGGGGCGCGACCCGGCGACCTCCTTGATCGCTGTGTCCTACGGACACAGCTGATCAAGTGATGTTGTAAAAGGCCAATCACAGCGGCCTTTTACCACGTGATCAGCCGTGTCCAATGACACGCTGATCACCGGGAAATGCAAATGCCGGTTCTCGGCTGCACTTTCCTCACGCTGTCAGATCGTGAGGAAAGTGCTGCCGAAAACCGGCAGTTGTCAGAGCGGGGATCGGCACCAATCATCAGGGTCACTGATCATCAGTGCCCTGATGATCGGTGCCCAGCAGTGCCACACACAAGTTCCGCCCACCTGTGCCCAGCAGTGCGCCCACCTGTGCCCAGTAATGCACCCACCTGTGTCCAGCAGTGCACCCACCTGTGCCCAGTAATGCGCACCCACCTGTGTCCAGCAGTGCACCCACCTGTGCCACCCAGCAGTTTCACCACCTGTGCCCAGAAGTGCCACCTACCTGTGCCCAGTAGTGCCACCCACCTGTGCCCACCAGTGTCACCCTCCAGTGCCCATCAGTGCAGCCCAGCAGTGCTGCCAGTCAGTGCCCAGCGGTTTGCCAGTCAGTGCCCAGCAGTGCCGCCAGTCAGTGCCCAGCAGTGATGTCAGTCAGTGCCACCTATCAGTGCTGTCTATCAGTACCCATTATCAGTATTGCCTATCAGTGCCGCATATCAGTGCCACCTATCCGTGACACCTCATTAGTGCTGCCTATCAGTGCAGCCTATCAGTGCCCATCAGTGCTGCCTCATCAACGCACATCAGTAAAGGAGAAAAATTACCTGTTTGAAAAATGTTATAATAGAAACAAAGAAACTTTTTTTTTTTTTCAAATTTTTTTTTGCACTTTTTTTGCTTATAGCACAAAAAGTAAAGTGCCCAGCAGCGATTAAATACCACCAAAAGAAATCTCTATTTGTGAGAAAAAAATGATAAAAATTTCATATGGGTACAATCTTGCATGACCGCGCTATTGTCAATCAAAGTGCGACAGCACTGAAAGCTGAAAATTGGCCTGGTAAATAAGGGGGTATAAGTGCCCGGTAGGCAAGTGGTTAACAGTCTACACTTAGAGTGGTGCTGCTGTCTCTCTTCTCTGCGATTTGCAAGTCGCCTGGCATGCAAATCGCATGCCAAATTTCACCCGATGTGACCAGGGGCTAAAGGGACGCTTTTTGGACGCAATGGACGTTTCTTAGTTTCCAGGCAGAAAGAACAGTAAAAGTGCGGGCAGGGCGCCGGACAAAGCTCTAGGGACAAAACGGAGGTGAAATGGTGTGATACAGGAATGGAATCCTAACATTACAATGTATTGTGTGTATGCCATGTTTTTACTTTTTTTAATCTCCTGCCGTTTCTGCCCCCCTACGTCGCAGGGAAGGGATCCCAGAAGACGGATGCTGGCATCGACCAGAGGACACCGCGGGAGGACATCGGCCAGAGACGACGGGAGGCAGCGGAGGGAGGGGGAGGACATTGGCCGGAGGATGCAACGGGAGGACATCGGCCAGACGACACAGCGGAAGGACATCGGCCGGAGGACGCAGCCGGAGGACATCGGCCGGAGGACGCAGCGGGAGGACATGGGCCGGTGGACGCAGCGGGAGGATGGGCCAACGCAGCGGGAGGACATCGGTGGACGCAGCCAGACGACACAGCGGAAGGACATCGGCCAGAGGGCAGCGGAGGATCGCCGTGTGGCAGCGGGAGGACATTGGCCGGGAGGACACATTGGCTGGGGGCAGTGGGAGGACATCGGTTGGAGGACACAGCGGGAGGACATCAGCCGGAGAACACAGCGGGAGGAGGACATCGGCGGGGGGGCACACAGCAGGAGGACATCTGCCATAGGACACAGCGGGAGGACATCGGCCGGTGGATGCAGTGAGAGGACATCGGCCGGTGGACACAGCGGGAGGACATCGGCCCGGAGGACGCAGTGGGAGGACATCGTCTGGTGGACGCAGTGGGAGGACATCGGCCAGAGGACACAGCAGGGGACATCAGAGGATCGCAGGACAAGGTAAGGATCGGGGGATAGCAGGAGAAGGACTACAGTGTAATCCCGAGTGTGGCTCAGGGGTTACCGCTTTTGGTACTGAAAATGAACCCCGAGCCACCAGGGAGGTTAGAATAGGTAAGTTCAGACATGTTTTTTCTACAGATTAGGCAGGATAGGTAAGAGGAGTGGAGGAGGAATCATTTTTAAGAAGAGTTGGACGTTCTGCAGACTTTTCTTAAGGCTGAGATTTTGTAGCGGGTTGACACAGCTTTTATTGACTCCACTGGCTCGTATTTTCCCATTACAGGTAGGAGTTAAAGGTCTGCGGAGATGAGTCACCGCTACAGACAAGAGTCAGGGAAATGTTCCTCTTGCATTGTGGCTTTAATGGAAAACACAAGGTAATTTCAAGCTGCTCTTTCTTGTACGGAGCGAGCGGTTTGAAACGCCTCAGATTTTATGTCTAACTCTATTAAATCTTTACTGCAGGAAACAGGGAGACGGGCGGGCCACGCTTCAGCACGCGCTGGCTGAAACCTTCCATGCACTGTCAGGTTCTGCAGAGGGGTTGGGAATGCAGCACACGCATACTAAACCGTACAGCAGAAGGGATGCTAATTGCCTCGGCATGGAA